GAATGCCTTCATGCGGTGCACCCAGACTTGAAGTGCGCCGCCACCGGTATTCCGGCCGAGGAAGTCGTGGCCAGTATTTCTGAATCGTTCAGCTTGAGTTTGAGATTATAGTGGACAAGGCTCACTTGATCGTCAACCGAATGTTGTTATTGCGCGCAAAGTTTATAGCCATTTGTACATCCTTGGTCGTGGTAACGTTGACTACGTATGCAGGGAAGTTCAACAACTTGCACTCGGACTGAGGAGGCGCAGCGCTGGATGCAGGAACAGGACATGGATTATCGAGCGTCCATGACAGGAATGGTATCAGTGGGTCTTCTTTGCTAAGTCAACAAGTTAGTGATCAGTGCAGAGTAGTGTCAACCTGGACATACAAGAAAAGAGCATCAGACTGTCGTCGTTTGACATTTGCGCACTTTGTCGCATCTTTGTATTCGCCTTGGTAGCACGCTGCAGCTGGAGGGATACCCTTCAGTAATGTGCCGCCCAGACTGACATTGAGGGCACTCCACTGTGTTGATGACGGCCAACCGTCGTAGCCTGGGTAGTTCTTGCAGGAGGGTATACTGGCTCCTGTTGCTTCGCCGAAAGCAAGATCGGGGTTACCCGCCACGTCCAATTCTTCCAACTGTATGCTTTCGTATAGGAAATTGTATGCGAAGGCGGCTTGTGCCAGAAGAAGGATCGAGAAGAGCGAGAAGCCAGAAACCATCATGGGAAGCGCAGCTGCGAAACCAGTACGATAAAGACGATATAGCTCACAGAAAAGTGCTTACTTTCTCGGAAGCTGTTACAACAGCATCTTATACGGGTATCCTGTGGCCATATTGGCAAACCCTCCACCATTGTACTACTTGTAGATGCCCCACAAACATTCAAGCTGATCACGGCCAGAACTATGAAGCAATACAGGCAACATATGCCAAGGTCCTTTGCCCGTCCTCTGCATATGATGCGACCTGTTCGTCTTCTCTTTCTGGTTATCAGATGCAGTAACTCAATATCGGGCACGCGGTCATCATGCAGCCACAAGGACTCATCCGGGTGTCTCCCGCTGTACGTTTCGTGTTCTCGACGTAGGGTGAAGATCAAGAACATCGGCGTGCATCCGTGGCGTTCGTGATCTTACATTGGTACCGGCATCGTGGTAAACTGTCGAGGCTAATGGCTGCGAGACCGCATCCCAAGCCTGTTCATTGGCTGAAACAAGCGAGATAGATTGCGTGCCGAATGTAGACGCACGATAAGAAACTTGAGCGCATGAGAGCTGACTTGGAGGTCTCCCCACACAGGGCGTCAGGATGGCCGTATGATCAAAACGCCTTTTCGGTCGCAGGACGAGAGTTTATGCGGGACACGAGGGGTTCGTAACTCCAATATATCGATTAGTGTGGTGCGTGCCTATTCTCTAATGGCGATTATGTCGAGCATGGCCAAGAGATGAGAGCAGTGCACGCAGATGTTGGAGGCTTCATGGAATTACCCCTGACCTAATTAGGCTAGCGCATCGACTAAGCCCCCACTTGCTTCGATCTCGGAATGATCGTTCGCTGTCCTAAACGCCGGAAAGCCTTCTCGCACATCTATTCTAATAAGAGGAATGGAAAAGTCGATGTACTCGTAATCGGAAAACGTTCATTGTCGTTTGAACTTTATCAAAGCTCATCGCGGAGGAAGAGCATCCTCCGCTGAAGCATGCACATTGGTCGATTAGGAGCCTCAAAACTCGCTAACATCATCAAAGTCTTGCTTACTCTTTCCCTGCCTTGTTCTCGAGCTCGGTGGCATCCTCCATGTACTTTACCGAGTGCTTCCGCTGTTCCTCCTTCATTCCCGCTTCGACATCTTGGAGGCGCTGCTCGGCTGACACATCTCCGAAGAGAATGTCGATCTCTTCGAGAGTCTTTCCCTTCGTTTCCTTGATGAAGAATGTTGCGAAAATGCCCATGGAAAGGCAAAAGATACCGAACATAAGGAAGGTTTTCCAGCCGATGTCTAGTGTACGATATTAGTGTATGTCTCACACGGAGGTTGTACGGGCACACTCACGATTGATAGCCTCTGGGGTAATCTTCGTAATCACGAAGTTGAAGAGCCACTGAGTCGCAGATCCCATTCCGACACCGTAGGATCGAAGCCGCGTTGGGAAGATTTCTGACAAGTATACCCATGGAACGGGGCCCCAAGAAGCCGAGTATCCGATAACATAAAGGTAAATCATGGCCACCATGGCAATGGAGGGTGATGACACGGAGTCAGCGTCTGGGTTTGGTGGGTAGGTGGCGAGGACAGCTCCAATAATGAACATCATGGCCGCCATCCATGCCGCACCACCCATGAGTGAGTATTTGCGCCCAATGAAATCGATTCCGAAGATCAAGAAGATACCCGTTGTGATCACCTTAACGGTTCCGTAGATACCAGTTGCGAAGAGCGAGGCATTGGACTTGGAGACACCGATAGTCTGGAAGATTTGGGGCGCGTAATAACCTAGCAAATTGTTAGAACAAGGTATTCGATATTCGATGGCGTTCTGTTCTTACCGATCGAGTTTGTTCCGCTAAACTGCTGCCAGAACATGAGCACAAAAGCAGTGATAAAACGGTATCGGTTACCAGGAAGAAGGCATTCTTTCCTGTCAAGATGGAGATACGAAGTCAGTGTATGTTTCGCATGCATTCTTTACAGTCACAACTTACCATGTAATGCCTTCCGTCATGTTGAGCTCCTCCTCCACAGCCGCACGAATCTCTGCTAGTTCCTGCAGAAGTTCGGGGCTGTCGTGTTGTTCGCAGCGAATGAATGCGAGTGACTCCGCAGCTTCTTCTTGCCGACCCTTCGACATCAACCATCGAGGAGATTCCTTGAGGAAGAAAAGCCCAATCAACATGAAACCACCTGGAATCAGTTGGATCGATACCGGGACTCTCCACTGCTTCGTTGAGACAGGCATATGGAGTGCGACTCCATAATCAAGCCAGTATGCGAAGGTACTGCCAATGACCAGGAATTCTTGGAAAAGGCCCGCGATACGTCCTCGAAGAGCTGGAGGTGCATTTTCTGCGACAAACACGGGAGTGATGGATGACATTCCTCCAATACCGAGACCAGCGATAACGCGTCCTGCGTAGATCATGCCGATCTCATGGTGGGCGGCAGTCTGGATCGCGGCACCGATAAGGAAAACGAGGGAGAAGCCCATGAGGGATAGCCGTCGACCGAACCGTTCGTTGAACCAGGCAGCCGCGATGGCTCCAAAGAAGCAACCGGCGGTGAGGAGCGAAACGACATTCGATGACACCGACGCGTTCTTTGAGTCGGAGAATCCAGATGAGTCTGTAGGCAGTCCGAAATCTTCCTTGAAAGCCTTGAGCGCGAGAACGCTACCCATCACTCCAGTGTCATAACCTACGTTGTTGTCAGCTCTTGTCCAAGGAAACGGGTAATTCGTGCTTACCGAACAGCAGCGAGCCCATGTAGGCAACGCTAGTCAGCAGATAGACCCTGCGGTTTTTGAAGAATTTGGACACCATCTTGGCTATGTCGTCGCAGCTCGGCAGGTTGACTGGCGTGCCTTTGGTGAGGGCGAAGCAGGCTTTTGAATAGAGACATCAAATGCCTAGGGTGGCACCATCGGCAACACAGTCCCCCGGCATTGCGTCGTTATCATCTGGTGGAGGAACCTGCCCGACCCCAGACTCCACCTTTGGGAATAGGCCGCCTCCACAGACCCGATTATATTTTCTTCCACCAGTCATCCATAGTTTTCGGATAACATTAGGCTTTGTCCACGAGCTAGAGGCCAACATACCGACGGGCGACGACTGTCGTGAGTTTCGCGATAATTTTCGTGGTGTTTCCTTTGCGCGCACAACAACGCCATGCGGCTCAAACTGCAAAGACAAGCCTCCCAAGCCATGTTTACGAGGCCGCCCCAATGCTTGGTGCTGCATGTGTTGAGTCTAGTGCGTTTGTCTGAATGGTGGCATTTCTCAAGCGTCGGCGGAAAAATGAGCTCCACATGAATCTCGAACGCTAAGCTTGCCAGCGATGGTAGTGCCCGCATGCAAAGACCCTTCCCCAACCACCAACGCACTGACATATACTACCTCTATGCAAGGCGCCCAAAACCTTGGAAGCATCATGAAATAAAACGATCTGAGTCGTGCGGAAGTACGCCCAGGAGCCGTTGCATCCGGCCCGCTGCACATTGGCAATCCGCCACAAACGCGATGCTAACGTCATGACAAGCTTAAACAGCTCCGTGCGTTATGCAATGGTAATAAGACGAGGCACACATAAGTCCGCGCCTTCCAAGGTTGGAAAAGATGGCATCTTGACCGCCTCCAACAACATACCATGGCGGACCCGTTACTGCTTGCGTCGGAGTCAGCCTCATGCGCAATAGCCATCATATGTAGATGTACTGAGGTCATTTGGGACTCTATTGTTGTACCAACCTGCATAAAAAGCGACACTCGTCTCACTTGTGTCTACCATCAGTCATGATACCGTTGAAAGTGGCCAAAAAAAACGACACCAGTCTCTTGATATCGTGTGCGTGCTATGTGGTGTAAATATCCGTCGAGATTTCGTTGAGTTGAGGTTGCAGGCGTTGAGTGAGCATTGCATATATGGTTGGCAGGCATTGGATGGGTGTGAGCACCGTTGAGCGAGCATTGGCGCCATTGAGCGATCGCGTGGGCGGCATTGGGCGAATATCGCCATTATCAACGCTCAAAGACAAACCTTCCTGATTAGGAAATCACACCCCACGGGTGTTTACCATCAACCACCCATTCTCCCTTCTGGTGTTGCCGGGGACGCTGAGGACAAGTTTGCAGACATCCTTGACGGATGTTAACTATTTCGACCTTTTGGTGCTTACAATACAACTGCCTTGAAGTGCTGCTACCGCTGACCTTTAGGTATGCATCGATCTGCGAAACTATTATACAGCTCGCAGCACAAACATCATTGGTAGGCGCCTTGGTTGCTAACTACAACTTTGCTGGCTGTTGCATCACCCTCAAATCGTCCCGACTGATCTCCGCTGTACTCTTCTTCCCAAGATTCGCCAATGAGTTGTCTGTATCAGCGAGCATACAGTTGAGTACGTGCTTAACACCTTCCTCGCCTCCCATCGCAAGGCCATATGCATACGGACGTCCAACCAAGACAGCTTTTGCCCCCAAGGCAAGGGCCTTGAGAACATCTGACCCAGTTCGGATACCAGAGTCGAATAGCACAGTCAAGTCCGAGCTTTTGATCTTGTCATCAGCACCAATATCCGCCAACGCGTCTAGCGATGCAATCGCTCCGTCAAGTTGTCGTCCTCCATGGTTAGAGACAATGATGCCATCCATTCCGTGCTCAACAGCTCGATGCGCATCCTCCACGGTCTGAATGCCCTTCAGCACAATAGGCCCATCCCAATACTTCCTAAGAATCTTCAAATCGTTCCAATCGCGGTAGTTCCCAGATGCTACCAGGTCAGTGAACAACATGGCCTTCTTGATGATGCTGGCATGGCTCAGGACTTTCGCCGCACCTCCGATGCTCCCCGGTCTTTTCAAAATCTGCCAGATTTCCGACACCTTCTCGCTGATGCTACGAGTATCTGCAGCTTGCATCTCCTCGTACATGCGATTGAAGACAGGGTCTGAGAAGCCGATTTGACAGCCCTGACCCCAAATGAAGGGGATGTATGATTCATCGAGATCATTAGGTCGCCAGCCTATCATGAACGTGTCGAGAGTCACAACTAGCACTTGGAAGCCGCTTGCCTTTGCGCGACTAAGCAAGCTCGCCGTAAGCTCCTCAGCTTGCGGCTTAGGCCAATAGAGTTGGTACCACCGGTCGCCATCTCCGTTGGCCTGGGCGACTTGCTCGATGCTTCGAGTAGCGGCCGTTGAAAGGATCATAGGTACGTTCACAGCAGCACAAGCTCTTGCAGTTGCTTCCTCGGCATCATGATGAAGAATCTCTTGTACACCAATTGGTGCCACAAGCAATGGACTTTTGTACTTTCGCCCAAAAATCTCAACAGACATGTCGCGCCGTGTAGCCTTCACCAGCATCCATGGACGTAGTCGGTATCGCTCGAAAGCTGACACGTTCGCTGTATATGTTGATTCGCTGCTTGCAGAGCCGTTGACATAAAGAAAATTTGGTTCAGGGACTGCAGCTCGAGCAGCTGCTTCCCATTGTGCGGGTTTCGTTGAATATTTGGGCTTTCGAAGACTGGCGTATATTTCGCGTTGATAGCTGACGTAGGAGTCTGGATCTGGCTCGTAGTAGGTTGTTTCCTCGGTCTTTGCCAGTGGTTTTGTGTCGGACATGATGATGAAACTCAGAGGTATTCTTCGCAAGAAGTACAGTCGTGTCTCGTATAGATACTCGCGGAACCCGATGATCTCTCGAGCGTTTCTATCGTGTTTGTTGATGTTCCTGGAACGCGAAACAAGCGTGATGCGGAGGACGCCCGGAGATGTGGGGAACGATCGACATGCCGAGGTTCAGCATCCCTAGTCAATCTACCCACACAATCGTTCCTCCCCCGACTCGAGAAGTATACAACTAAACAAATCAATCATCAGATGAAGTGTAGGATCCAGACCGGGTGATGATACAACAAGAATGTCTGTGACTTCGTATGGAGAAATGTACCGCGGACATCGCATCGGCAAAATCGGTCTGTTCGGCAATCTCGCTGTTACTTGCGGATGGCCTTATTACCACCAACCTAGATCTCGCACAATTCGGTCGACAAACGATCCCAAAACGAAATATGCGGTCGACGTCGAAAGGGATGAGTTGGTTGCCTGAAGAGAGGGAAGATATAAAGATCGAAGGTAAAATATTAGACATGTATCAACACAACCATCTCATCATCTCTCAATAAACAACTTCAAAGTGTACATCCATAACCCTGCAGTCATGGAAGCAGCAGCACAGAACATCCGCGAACTGTACGCAAAGAGCAATGCTCGCGAACGACAACAAATCCAAGAACAGGTTAGAGACCTGCAAAAGGATCTTTATAGCGACTGGGAGATGATGTTCAGCCTAGCGATGGCAGTGAGTCTTCCACATGCGCTGTATACCTTCTACTAATGCCTCCAGCCTCTTCAATGGGCCCTCGTCGATGTCGGGATCGATCTTAACATCTTTACCACGCTCTCCTCATCCGCGACGCCGATGACGCACGGCGACTTCCAGGAAAAGACAGGCGCAGCACCGAACCTACTTGCCCACTTGCTCCGCTCTATGGCATCATTTGGGCTTATCAATGAAGTTGAGAAAGACGTTTTCGCAGCAAGCCGAACGACACGCGTCTTCGCAGATCCGCATGTCAACGGCGCCGCACCGCATCTATCGAAGCTCCACCTGCCGGTTGTAAACGCGCTTCCTGGCTACCTAAAAGGGCACGACTACCAAGACATCACCAACCCCAAGGATCTGCCATTTCATATGGCAATGAATACGGAACTGACGCCATTCGAATGGATGAAGCAGGATGGTGAGCAGATGAAAGCACTCGGACACATCATGGTGCTCGACTCTGTCGATAGTTGGGTCTCTTCATACCCTGCTCAGCAAGTTGTTGGCGACTTCAAGCCTGCAGACAAATCTGCGCTTCTGGTTGATGTCGGTGGCGGTTTCGGTCAACACTCTGTGGCATTCAAAAAGAAGTTTCCTGAGCTCCCCGGCCGTATCGTCGTACAAGATGCCCCTTCGACTCTTGCACATGCGCCCAAAGTGGATGGTATCGAGTTCCAAACCCATGACTTCTTCACGCAGCAACCAATTCGTGGTGCCAAGTTCTACTACTTGCGCCATATCATGCATGATTGGGCGGATAAAGACTGCGTGCGCATCCTCTCGAGCATCATTCCGGCAATGGGCCCAGAGTCGCGTATCCTGATCGATGAGGTGGTGTTACCAGAAACGAAAGTACCTTGGCAGGTTGCTATGATGGATCTTGCGATGATGGCAGCGCTCGGCGGCATTGAACGGAGTAGAGAAGATTGGGTGAAGTTGTTGGAAAGCGCAGGACTGAAGATGGTGGACGTGCACTGCTATGACGATGTGAGGTTCCATTCCGTCATTGCGGCTGTACCGAAGTGAGGTGCAGGTCTGTAGGTCGCTAGTAGATAGTCCATAGTCAGTCGATATATGAATTGAAAAAGGCGATGCTGAGTATTCCATCGGACTGATGCAATAACCAGTGGATGAGTCAGTCATCATCCCCCAAGTCCGCGGACTTTCGTCGCGCCTTACAACTTCAATCACCCGCAGCCACAACCGTCTCCACGTCTCCACCTACGCCCTCACGCCTTGTGCCGGCAAGCTTCATATAGCCCTTATCGTCTTTACCATGGCGATCTCGGAGTAACAGTACGCGCAGCCAGGGGTGCATCGGAGTGTTCAGAAAGCTCCGAACGTACTAGAAGGCGGGGCAGGTCCCGACAACGCCGGTTCACTCGCCGATAGGGCGCGCTTCAAAGGCCTTGACGCTTGATACGCCTTATGCATCTTTTCGCTGTCATAGATGCACATTTTGCGCCAAGCTATGCTACGAATGTGGTATGACTGTCCGGATGCTGCTCTTTAAGGAGCAGCAGATTTCGTGGGCCACGACCACACAATTTCCTGACGGATAAGAAATCTTTTGGTCCACGCTACGAGCGCTTGACGCAATTCTGCTGTATTCTTCTATCCGGTTTGATAAAGAGGAAGACGAAGGCCTTGTTCGAAGATGGATCCAATCGCCAATCCGACGGTACAGGTGCAGGACGGAATGACTACGAGCGACGGGAGACCATATGCCGAACCAGATGAGATTTGGGATGGGCTGAGGAGGACAGTGTCGAAGATGACAGGACGATCGAAAACGGGGAGCGAAGCAAAGCAGTCTATTCACCAAGAGATGGAAATCCGATCGCACGGGCGTACACGGTCGCATCGGACGCAACCCATCGACGAGCTGGACGAAGAGCCCGGAATACCTATCGTAGACGCAGAGGATGACTTTCCTGAGGGTGGACTGCGTGCATGGCTCGTTGTCGCATCAGCGTGTTTGATGCTGTTCCCTTCCTTTGGCTTCATGGTTTCCATCGGCACACTTCAGGACTACTGGGGCCAGCATCAGCTCTCGTACATGTCGGCGCGTGATATTGGATGGATCCCTTCGGTCTTCGTTTACTTGTCCCTTGCGCTGGGCATCTGGGTGGGACCACTCTTCGACCGTTATGGGCCACGATGGATCGCTTTGACTGGAAGTGTCATGTTCCTACTGATGATTTTCCTACTTGCCGAGTGCGACCAATTTTGGCAGATGATCCTTTGCTGTGGTATACTGGGAGGATTCTCCGGCGCCATGCTGACCACTACGAGTCTTGCCGTAGTTGCGCATTGGTTCAAAGCGAGACGAGGTCTCACCCAAGGCATCGCAATGATGGGCAGCTCCGCTGGTGGTTTGGCAATTCCCTTGATCCTACGCACTACACTTCCAAAGTATGGCTACGCATGGTCGCTCCGGATACTGGGTTTTGTATTCCTCTTTTGCTTCATCGTTGCCAACATCCTGATGAAAGCTCGCATTCCACCATCTGCTGCTGCAAAGAAGAAGGCAATAATCTCACTCTCCATCTACGGTGATCTAAGGTTGAGCCTGTTCACGTTGAGTGTTTTCGGTTTTGAGGTCGTTCTCTTTGGTGGACTGGGCATTATGCCTACATATGCATCGATAAGCACGGACTTTCCGCCAGATACTGGATTCTACCTCATCGCCGTACTCAATGGAGTATCTTGCCTCGGACGACTGTTTCCAGGCTATGTCGCAGACAAGATTGGTCGATTCAATACCCTGTTCGTCATGATTCTTTTCACTTTGCTCTGGATGTTGGTCCTGTGGTTGCCGTTTGGTACAACATCGCTTCCAGCACTGTACGCTTTCGCAGCGCTCTTTGGATTTGGTACGGGTTCATGGATGGCGCTTACGCCTGCATGTGTGGGACAGCTATGCAGAGCAGAAGAGTTTGGCCGATACTATGGAAGCATGTACTTCATCGCTTCTCTTGCGACGCTGGTCTGCATCCCAATCAGTGGAGAGCTCGTTGAGACTGTCGGGCCTCAACCTATGGTAGCTTTCTTCTGTGCAATCCTCGGGTTGTCATTGATTAGCTTCTTGTTCAGTCGCTGGGCGTGTTTGGGAAGACGTTGGACGTTGAAAGTCAAAGTATAAGCGATCCGATAGATACCTCCGTAATGCTAGAGAACAAGCATCACAAAGTACTCACGCGTCTCCACAATTCTGTTGTTGAGCGGATGGAACTAGCGTGATACGGACCAGCAGCCGGTAGCGTGTTCATCTAAAGAAAACTTCGCGGCGCTAAAATCGGCCCATTCCGGAATTTCACGATTTACAGGAAACTAGCCCGTCTAACAAATCATATAGCGATGCTCTATGTCTATCGATAAAATGTCTGAAACCGAGCATAGCTGCTGCTATTGATCGATGCATAGTTACCTGACCATTCAGATACTCCAGAAAAACCCCCAAAGTTGCAAGATATGTTCTATGATGTTCGTACGATACTCATCGACTCCATGCAGCGCCACCACAGGGTGGTCCAGGCTTACAGTAGATTTACATGACGTGCTTTGATGGCGCGAAAGAGAATTTCCTGATCGACAAGGGATAAGAGCATACGAGTACGTATCATCTAGGAAGCTTTATAATGTAGCCACAGAGTAGTCACCCGCGGACCCTATTGCCTGTGCGTCTCCAAACCCTTTCCCCGCAAACATGTTGGACCACATCCGAGATATCGAGAGTTCGCCCCATATCGACTACCATCATTCCGACGATGGCAAGCCAATCATCGAGCCACAACTGAACGTCGGTGGTCATGGCGCTACCCAGCGCCGTCTCAAGGATTATCATGTCACCATGATTGGTTTTTGTTCTGGAATAGGGACGGGACTTTTCATTGGAACCGGCTCTGCATATGCAGATGCTGGACCGGCAGGGTTGTTGCTTGCCTACATCGTTGTCGGGAGTGTCTTATGGTGTGTCATGCAAAGTGTTGCAGAACTGGCTACGGTGGTCGGTATCCTATGGCGATTTATCTCAAGATCGTGCTCACCATCATTTAGATTCCTACTGCTGGCTCATTCCCACATTTCGCGAGCCGCTTCATTGACCCGGCTGTCGGATTCTCCTTGGCTATAAGCTATGGTTATTGCTACACTATATCCATCGCCGCCGAATGCTCGGCATCCGCAATCCTGGTCGGCTACTGGACTGACATGTCACCTGCTATTGTCATTACCATCAGTCTTGTCCTCATTCTCGCAATCAACCTGCTTAGCGTGCGTTGGTTTGGTGAATCGGAAGTCGCTGCAGGTACTATCAAGATCGCGTGCTTCCTGGGTCTGATCCTGGTTTCTATTGTCATAACGTCCGGAGGCGCACCAAACGGCGAGACCATTGGATTCCGCTACTGGAACAACCCCGGAGCCTGGGTAGATTACAATGGCATCACTGGACCAACGGGTCACTTTCTGGGATTCCTGGCATCGTTCGTCAACGCGGCGTTCTCCTTCATCGGCGTCGAGGTGGTGGTTATTACAGCTGCCGAGAGCATCAACCCTCACGTTGCCATCCCAAAGTCGGCCAAACGCGTTACATTCCGAATCGCCCTGTTCTATGTTCTGGGTGCTCTTCTTATCGGAATCATTGTCGACCCTAGGAATCCCGGTCTCGTGTCAGACAGTGGAAATGCCAACTCTTCACCTTGGGTTATCGCCATCAAGCAGGCAGGCATCAGCACCCTCCCTTCAATTGTGAATGCCTGCATTCTCATATCTGCCTGGTCGGCAGGTAACTCTTACTGTTGGGTCGGATCCCGTATCATCGTCGCGATGACCACGGACCGCCAACTCCCGCAATTCTTCGGCCGTACCTGGAGTAACGGCGTACCGTACTGGGCGGTCCTCGCTTCTTGGGCTTTTGGACCTCTCGCATATCTCAGTCTGGGTTCTGGTGGTGCTGCACAAGCGTTCGGCTGGCTGGTCAGTCTTAGCACTGTTGCGGGACTGATTGCCTGGGCGACATTATGTTTCTGCTTCATCCGCTTCTATGCTGCCATGAAAGCGCAGGGACACAGTCGAGACAGCTTGCCTTGGAAGAGCCCGTTCCAGCCTTTCACCGCATGGTATGGGTTCATTGGGTCCACTGTCATCACTTTGATTACAGGATTCCCTGTGTTTTTGAAGGGAAACTGGAATACGGGTGATTTCATCGCCTCGTACATTGGCATACCACTTTTTATAGTGCCAATCATTGTCTGGAAGCTGTGGCATAAGACACAAGTGAGTACATACCTCTTCGTGAAAGTCAAACTTGCTAACACGATCTAGTTTGCGCGTGCCAAAACCATCGATCTACATTCCGGACGTCTTCGGTGATTTTAGGCTGTATGGTTTCTAGTCGTTCAAGGCCACATGTTCGTGATTAGCAAGAAGGAGTTGGGAATTCCCAGGAACACGGTGGATGTAGATAGCTGCCTTATGCTACGAGAATATGTATCGCCATTTGCAACCTTCAATATGCTTATACGACGTGTTATTCAAAATGTGTAACCAAGTACTCAACGTTAAGGAAACGAAGGTGCGATAAAAGAGTCTGTATCGCTATCCTCGTTTGTGGCAACGGTCACTGCTGAGCGCCAAAGCGAAAGAAGACAGTGGCAGAGAAACTGATGGTCCGCACGGTAGGCGTGCGGCAATCTTCGTGTGTTCTACAACTCAATAACTTCAGGCGCTATTTCAACCCGGGTGTGGAAGGCGGGACCGGGGTATTTCGTTGGAACCGGGGTATTTCGTCGGAAGCGACGTACTAGGAGGTAGCAGCTGTCGATTAGAGCTACGTGCCGCTGTATCTAGTTGGTCCCGGAGTTCTGCGTACTGAAAGTCTACAACGAACATGTCTTGCGAAAGGACCTTCGTGGGGGTAATGGTAACCTTGAGAGTAAGGTCTAATCTCGTCGCATTGTCTGCACTAAATCGCCGAACCTCATGTTGTGCAGGCCTGGACGCTACAACTTGGTAGAATGCTTCCAGGTTTACAGGACTATACCAGATAGTGTCATCAATGTGACACCAAGCCTTTGGCCGCCCCGCAGTTTCATCATGTCTGCACCCTAGAGCTAAGAATACCATATACTTGGCAGTATGTCCCGATCTGGTGGCCAAACTCAAGTTCAATTCCAAGGCTGCGTGCCAAGATGAAGGTCCAGTGTCGTCCGCCTTGCCCTGAAGGATTTTGTCTTTCACGTTCCAGGCTTCCTTCGGGTAACACTGTCGTATCTCAATGCCTTCCGGAGGCTTGCGTACAAGAAAACCCCATCGTCGCCGAACACCCTTCGGGATTGTTGAGGTATGAGTGTTGCGGATATAGATCTCTTTTGAAAAAGTAGCAGCCGGTATCGATCCATACGGGATTAAGGAAACGCTGGAACTGATGTCTCGAAGATAAACATCCGCGGATAAGTGTCGCAATGGTACAATCACGAAGTGTTGGTAATCGTGGACGACGTGGCATTTCAAGATCACCCAAACGATATCGAAACCGGACCAGATCATGACTGGCGAGCGAAGCGGTCGAAGCTTGGCACGGTCGTCTTCACTGAGCTGTTCAGTATGAAAAAGCATCTGCCATATACGTAGACCTCTGTGGGTCATGGCGTAAGGAGCCACGGGATCATCTGAAGCGAAGGGTATTAGATCCCGTGCTTCTCGAAAATCGTTCGGACTACCCGCAAGCACATCTCCAGTCAACTGGTTCGTCCCAAGTTCCGAGCTTTCCCACGAAAAGAGCGTTTCGTCCTCGGATATCTTCATGATCTCTTCCTGCAGTCTTCTGAACGCCTTCGCCTTCCCTTCACCATACAGCAATGGCATGTTGACGTCGAAGATTCCGAGGAGGGAATAAGCGATATCCTCAGATCTCGTTGCTTGTCTGTCTGCGGCCCATGACATACGCATGCTGACGCTTGCGGTTTCCAAACTCTGGCCCTCTAGGTACTCTATAGGGATGCCTGTGATCTTCGATATCCGCATGCCAATATTGGCTTTGTTGCCAAGAAGTTGCCAGTCGCGGGAGTAGAACTTCATGCCCGGTTCTGTACCAGAAGTCTGGTTGCTAGGAGCAAGTAACTCTTGTAGCGTCCAAGCACGTTTGAACCATTTACTAAGTGGAAACGTGTTGCTATGCCACGCGAAAGGACCATCCATGAAAGCGCCCCGGAGTTCGACGTCGGCAAGATAAGCGTAGCATCGATCACAGTTCCTGTACCATGCAAACATGCTATTGATAGCCTCCGAAAGCTCAGCGCTACTGCTCTTGTCAATACAGCATGTGTCGATCCACGCGTAGTCGAATCCATCTTCAATGGCGAGTTCGCAAGTCTTTTGGAGTTTCGCAAAGCCCTCCTTCTTCCTAGCCTGTTCTAGATCATCTAGATCAGAGTACACGACCTCTTCATCCTCCCAGCAGTGAGAGAGGATGGCATATGGCGGGATATTATTAAAGAAGGTTTTTAGTTTAAAAGTCCGTGCGTTTAGGAGCCGCATGTTGAAAACAGGGTGTATGACTGCATTCTGCAACTAAGCGCAATCGTGTACTTGAATCGTTACAAGCGGGCCGTTGAATACCTAGGCAGTAGGCTGAAGTAATGGCGCTGAGTCGTCTTTGTTGTAGGGCGATGGAACATTCTTTTCATCGTACATCTAGATCGATATAACATAGAAGCTGAATCCTATAAGGTGATGAAGATATGAAGCATGATAGGCATTGCTGCGACGAAGGTGGGGAGAGCTCTCAGGACACATGGTCCCTGCCCCGCCAAGGCTCTCGCTTCAAAACGCGCAAGATCCTTCCATCTAGCTTGCAGCTCTCTCAATCTCTTCCTCCTCAATCACAACAGCCCAAATCATGGCATGAGCCAAAACGGCCATATGCAAGCAGTGTTTCCTGCGCGATCAATATATCGCGAATAACACATGCGCATCCACCATCTCAACACTAACAGCAGAACTCTCCACGGCGCTGCAATAACCCAGGTAAGCTATAATTCTCTTCTTTCCAGCATTTCCCATCTCCATATGATGATTACAATACAAATCACAAGTTTCAAGACGGATCGGAGAAGGTTTCACGGCCTTCCTTGAATGAGTATTTCCTGTCTGAGTAGAGATAACCCACGCCTGTTACGTTACCACATAAACTACAGTGCAACGTCGCTGACAAGTTTCATCAGGCACACCACAATCACAAACTCCCAGCAAGAATAGTCTGTAGAAATTCATAGCCTAGCCATGCCATTCAATGGAACCTTGTTCCTTTCTTGTAAAGCCACATACTTTGGCCACGTACCATTTCTGTGATCATGCGCAAAGACTCAAGAAACCACAAAGACAAAGCTGACGGTACTGTTGATTTTGATTTTGATTTTGATTTTCATCTTACTGGTACTGTTACACAAAAAATAGACTAAAGGAAAAGCAAGATTGCTACCGTAGTAAAGGAGAACGATACCAAGATTCAATCCCTTTTAGCGCCGAATCCAGATTCCTTTCCACCCAATATCCGTTCATGCCATCATTGTTGTCCTTGCTCTGCCCGTTCCAACTCATCCGAGTTTTGCGCCGCGTTCGATACCGTGCCCATTGCCATTCTACTTGGGAAGGGAATTCTAATCCTCAGCCATATTTACCGACGCCTTGTTAGTCCTGCCGCTGCGACGGGGCGTACCATCGGCGGTAGCAGCCTTCTTGGGCGCCTTCTTCTTTGCAGGCTCCTTCTTCTCCTTCTTGGGACGGCCGCCCTTCTTGGGAGTGGGCTTTGTCTCGGCTTCATCCTTGTCCTCGTCCTTGCTCTCATCTTCGGCCTCGGCCTCATCAGTCTTGGCCTTCTTCTCTGCGGGCTTCTCGTCGGCATCTGTGCCGTTAGTCTTATCCGCCGACTCCTCAGCCTTGCGCTTGTCGCCGGCTTGGGGTTCGTCGTCCTTCTCGTCGGCTGCAGGCTTTTCGTCAGACTTGTCTTCTGTCGCGTCGTCCTTGGCTTCTTCTTTTGACTCCTCCTTGGACTCTTCGGCCTTGGAGTCGCCGTTGGTTTGCGCCTCTTCCTTCTTCTCCTCACTGTCTGGCGCGTCCTTCATTTCCTCGTCTTTCTTCTCGGCTTCAGCGGGCTTGTCGTCGTCCTTCTTCTCCGACTCTGCTGACTTTTCCTCTGTCTTTTCTGACTCAGCTTCCTTGTCGCCTTCCTTGGAGTCGCCGTTAGCTTGTTCTCCGTTGGCACCGTCGGTCTTCTCGTCGATCTGGAGTTCGGAAGCGCGCTTCACGACGTCGTTGCCAGAGCGCTCGACGTGAACAGCGGGGTTGTCAGGTGAGGCGTTCTTCTTGATGGTGTTGCCTTTCTTTGATTCGATAGCAATCTCGCCTTGGTCCTTGACCTCAGCAACTTCACCACCGGGCTGTCCTGAGCCCCAGTTCCATGAGACTGATGAATTGCACGTCAGTAATGATTTCACAGATGATTCTTGGGGTTGTATTGGATGCGATCGAGAGCACAGCAACGCGCGGAGATTGACAATCTTTGCGCTTGCTGGCGCGCAATGCGCCTGACAGTAGGATGCTAGGCACAGCCACTATGCCCTCGAGGAAGTCTCGGATTGAAGAGGTGAGAAAAACGTACCCTTGTCTCCTTGTTGGATCTCAGTGTCAGTCATTGTGTGCGATACAGCTCAGTAGGCGCTGGCGGTATGAGATGACGTTATGCTTCGCAAACCTGCGTGAGAAGTCGCGAAAGCGGGGCGGGGAAGCAATTGATGCGCGTAAAGCTAAAAAGGATACTTTGATGCGTAGAGATGATGCGCAAGCAGTGGGAAGAGACGCGACGGGTTGTGTGGAAGAAAAGAGAAGAATGGAAGCCGGGAACCTGAGTGCTGGGAAAGTGAGCTCGAAGATCGGAAGCTGTGGTCCTGAGGTTTGATTGGCCGCCTTGACCCACAAAAGTACCTTCCCCATAGAAGGTGGCTGGCAGATCGAGCCACGGCGTCATCTCCCGGCCTGTGCGTCGTTCGGCTGCATTCTGGAAATACATCCTTGTCGATCGCTTCCTTCAAGGCAGATTGCAATACGAAATCTCACGATACTTAGAAGAAACTTGTCAGAGATAGTATTGGTTCTTGCTTGTAGCTGGATGCTTTGGATATCATATACTTACGTCTAAATCTTGCTTCCTATCACTTCCTGCAGCCTGTGGCTGTGTTCGTAGTCGAACGCCGTAACCAAAGCTACCAGATGGCTTGCTGCTGCCAGAACAACCAATACATGGAAGATCTGATGACTTGAGCCCCAGATGTCGTATTTCCCGGGATTCCACTTCTCAGGTACCCTCGCAGCATAGATAGCGGCGCCAGCAATATACAGCGCACCCTGCAAAAGAACCCAATCCAGCCCAACGCTCTTTCGCAGATGTTCGATCCCATACAGTCGAACGCCGTGAAGCACAGGGAATACAGCGGACAGACCCATGAGCACAAACATGAGCGCTCGGAATGGCCTCAGTGCCGGAGTGCGGAACTTGGGGTGTGTCGCTACAACAGACGTGCCAGCTGCCAGCGTCGTGATCATGGTCCAATACGTTCTTCGTAGCTCTGGTTCGTTGCCAAACGCGTAGTATATGACCGGTATGAAGCTACCCCAGATCAAGAACACAATTCCCAGGTAGTCGAGCTTGTTGCCGAATACAGCGACTTCATGGGAGTGGTTTTGTATCGTATGATATGTCCCGCTCATACCCAGACATGCTATAGCTCCAGCAAAATAGCAGCCAAACGCCCACACGTCCTCTTGCGTAGCCGTCTCATAGCGAGGCGCGAGTGTGCTGTATAGAGCTATTGAGGATACGGCAGCCATCAAAGCACCGACGAGATGTGTGTAGATGTTGACGGTTTCGTTGTGCAAATATCCCAGGCTCTTCCAGGACTTGATGTATGAATTAGATTGAGCGCGGTATCCTGACTGGATGTAGTGATTGTCCTGCTGCCACGGGGAGAGTTCATCCCATAGTAATATCAACTTTTCTTCGACCTTTTGTTCTAGCTCTTTTCCGGTTTCTGCGGCCTTCGAGGTCGCTTTCTTGGTGGCTTCCATATCGTGAACAATTTAGGGGAAAATGGATAAGCAGAATGCGAGGGAAAGATTTGCAGTATATGAGGGCTTGTTATGAGTTCACATGTCACAAAGCGGCCTCGGAGAATCCGCGAATGACTTTAGGGACAACGCGCGAACTACGCCGCGTCCGGCGAGGCTTGCGAGAACAACACATCGCTTCAGCAGGGCAGCGGTTGACCACTGGACACGTTCATTAACGTTTAGACGCTTTTGAACTCTGTGTCCCTATCGCGACGATGATGGTCTGAGACGCGTCGAGCTCGGGCGTTGCCCCTCCATCCCACCTTCCCAAACCTCCAGCGCGACTACCTCCACTGCTACCCGCCCGGGCACTATGAGTCTGAAATCTGTTCGGTGACCTACAGCCATGATAATCAAGGTCTCCGACATTACTTGACCCCCTATTCCCTTCACCAGGACGCCCAAACCAATCGCTAGCGCCATGAAGTCATCAGATCCTGCCCGACCCAGCAGCCGTCGCGCCGCCTCAGGTGCATGGAACCGCTTGAAACCAGTTCGCGAAGATGTTCTAGAGACATATGGGCTGCCCTCCAAGGGAGAGACGCGGTAGGTCGCCCTCTTGCACTATACATCGAGGGACAATGGCTCATTCCACAGGCTCAATGATTTCAAAACACAAGAAGTCTACTTCAACCGCATCATAGAACGCTACATGAAGCTCTGCGCCCTCAATCGCGATGAACTAGATCGTCTCTTCGTCTCGGCCAGCATCCCCCAGTCCACATCTACAGACACGAAGTCAGTCTCGACTGCAAACTCCAAACTTACATCCTCCTTCTCCTCGCTTTCCCTCTCCAAACACGCGCCCCCAGAGCACCAACATACCAGCCGCCCGCCCCTCGCCTCCACCTCTACAAACACATCTACGACACACCAGCACCACCCGATCCCCCAGAAAGCCTTCACGCTCTCCATAAATGAACTAGCCACAGTCCTCGCCTCCCTGCGCAAACTTCGCGAGGCGATAACAGCCTCGAACCGCAGCGACGCCTTCGCCCTGCGCGCGTACACCTTCGCGATCCACGTTAGCATCCTCTGCCACGACTGGGCGTCGTACCTCCCCTCTCTCCTCTCTCTGCTCAACACAATACACCCACGGAATCCCTTGTCACCCTCTACTTTGCACGAATTCGTCGGACTGCTGATCCTCGACCAAGCGTGTCGGCAATCCGATTTCGCAGGCGCAAGAGCGACGAAGTTGGCATATGGGTACAAGGACTGGAGGGTGGAGAAGGTGCTGAAGTGTCTTGTCGCAGATGATTACGTGGGATTCTGGCGGGTAAGGAAGAGTGTGGATGGATATCAGAGGAGTGTTATGGAGTGGGCTGATGGCGGGGTGAGGGTGCATGCGCTCAAGTGTCTGGGCAAAGCGT